GGGGATGTGCAGGAGGCAGCCGATCAATGATTCTCTCTGATCATTGATGTTTCTATCTCTCTCGCCCTCTCTCTTCCTCTCTGAAATCAATAAAAATATTTTTTTTAAAAAAGAGGAAGGGAGACGGAGAGAAAAATAGGAACATCAATGATAAGAGAGAATTATTGATCAGCTGCCTCCTACACGCCCCACACTGGGAATCAAGCCGCAAGCCAGTCCTGTGCCCTGACCGGGAATCAAACCATGACCTCCCGGTTCATAGGTCGACACTCCACCACTAAGCTGCAACTGACTGGGCCGCATCTCAATGTTTGGTCCACCAAGAGCACCTCTGATTATTTGTCCCATGTTTTGTGAGCTGCTATATCCCAAAAAGACGACATTTGGCAAAGACGGACATGACCCTGGAGCTTGGTTAACCTGAGCAAAACAGGGTGACCACAGGGAGTTGATACAACCCAGGCCCAAAGCCAGCACGCGGCCTGTCCAAGAGGCTGGGGCAGCGCGCACAGGAAGCGGCCACGGAGGTCCAGTGACATCCATGCTCATGCCCATTGGTCAGTGGAAGAACCCAGACCAGACCCCAGACCTCGGGAGCGATGAAGTGGGGGTGTAAGCCACCACAGAAAGTGGCAGTGTCACCTGAAAACATGGGCAGGGGCAGGGGCAGGGCCAGCACCTAGAAGCTGAGGGTGGATTGGGGGGTCAAGGGGCTCCTCTGGGGAGGCTGGCCAAGCTGCCTCAAAGGATTTCCGGTAACACCGAGGGGGAGCCCAGGCTGAGGGCCTCGATGCTGACCAGCAGAGGGCTGGCCAGAGCCCCGCTCTCTGGGGCCTTCTTCTGCCCACTTCGCCTGGGGATGTGATGCTTGTTGGTGGCCAAATGGCATAAGAACCTGAGTCTTCCGCCTCCAAGTCCAAGGCAGGGTCTTTGTCATCCAAAGCCGGGATCCCAGGATTGAGACCAGGGAAAAGGGCACAGAGCTTAGAAGGCAGCTCTCAGAGCGGCACATGCACATAACACACACACACACACATGCACACACGCATACATACGCATGCACATGCACACTCGTATGCGCGCACACATGCACAACACACGCACACGTGCACCCGCACACGCGCACACACATGGGATGGGAGCTGGCACGCACTCCCACCCCCACCCCTACCACCAGCGCTGAGAGTCTCGGGAAAGGGCAGGGGCCACGCTGTTCCCCAGATAACAGCAGCAGCGGCCCAGTCCTGGAACCCCGCGTCCCGGCCTGGCCCCTGGCTCCGTCTGGTGACAGTTGGCAGCTGGCGTCTTGCTTCTGGCCCGCATTACCCCTTATTAAAAACGGCATCTTTAGAACAGATTTCTGCAAGTCACTGTCCCCAGGACTCGTCTCTTGTTTGGTAGCAGTCCTTCCCCTCGGGAGTGGCCCGCCTCGTACTTTTATTTTACAGTCCCTTGTCGTCTCTGTGGTTCTAATATTAGACTATCATGTTTTAAATAGAGCATTAATTACTAAGGAGGGGCGTCTCATTTATGTTTTAGATCATGTTTTCTCTTAACCATACACTTTCACCCAGAGTGAAGGAGCTGGGTTTTCGCTTGGGTCCTTTCCAAATCGCCGAGATCCTGTGTGCGCACACGCCACTCAAGCCCAGCCCGCAAGGCCAGGCCCGCCCTGCCCCTGGCTTGTTCCGTCCGGGCGTACAGCTTTCTGTCTTCATTAGGAGAAACGGGCTGGCGGTCCGGCAGCCTCCCCAGCAGCTGCTTGAAGCTGGGAAGAGCTCCATCCGCAAGCCCTGTCCACGGGCAGGGGTTTGGGGAAGTGACTCAGGGCCCATTCAGACGATGGGCCTCGAGGCAGCCAGTGCCGACTGCTGGGCGACACGGGGCCACGCAGTGTGAGTCCATTTCCGGAAAAACAATGCACACGTGGGCTCCCAGGTGAAAGGGCTGTCATCTACACCAACACGCTGGACGGTGCCTCCCTCCGGGCGGTGGGGCGATGGCTGCCGGATGGCGGGTCTTCTTTGCTTCTTTTTTGCTCAGCTGTGTGGGTTGGAACCCAGGAGTGTTCCCAGAGCAGGCCTCCATCAGCCCTGGAGAAGTCAGGGAAAGAGGAGGGGGGGCTTCCTTTTAAACGGATCCACACTTGGAGCAGAACCACAGTGGAAGTCAAGATGGTTTGGAAAAGTACACAGATGGATGTTTTTCTATTTTAATAGGTGACTGTTTTAATGTGTGTTAAGAAAAAAAATATAAGTGGTGCGTAGCCCTATGCGATTGGGTCTCTGCTGCCCTCACTGGTCTTTCCCCCACTCCCCCTGCTCCAACCCCACTGGCTCCTCCTCCTTCCTCTAACACAAGGTGCCCCAGGACCTTTGCACTTGCTGTCCTCTCTGCCCCAAGTGCTCTTCCTCACATAAATGCAAGGTCCACTCCTCCTCATCATTCAGGCCTCAGCCTTACATGTCACCTCCTTGCCTGGCTCCTAACTCTGCCCCCCATCCATCGTTAACTACCCTTTGTGTGGTTATTACACTATCATTATTTGTTTATTTCTTTTTTCCTATCTTCCCCTACTGGCCCATGAGTCCTTTTAAGGCAGGGGCCGTGTCTGACCTGTTCACCACTGTCTCTGGGTGCTCTAGGAAGTCTACCTGACCCGCAGCAGTCGGCTTTGTGGATGAGAGGAGGAGGGGATTGAAGGAGGCAGTAGCCTTAAGGCTAGCTCCGGCCCTAGCAGTCAGGGGGACAGCCTTTATGCCCGGAGGAGAGCAAAGCTCCTCCCCTCCCATCCAGGCCTCCAGGTCTCAGTACCTCTGCTCCCTGGGAACACTGAGAAATCAGAAATCCAGGTCCCACCAGGATCACTTTGCAAAACGCACACATCTTACCTCTGCCCAGCCAGTCGTCTGAAACGTTGGACACGCTCTGCCCCCCGCCACCCTCCCAGCACCCCGTTCATTTAGGCCTGGTCACACAGCTCGAGTCTGTCTCCAGAGACACCCCCTTTACCTAGATCCTTAACGGGATTGTGGTGGAGGATGGAGCGGGGCCCCATGCCGGGGACAGGGTGCTGAGGAAGGGAAGCAGAGGAGGGGTGCTGAGCCAGCTGGGAGGTGGAGTGGGAAACGGCGTGTCCCAGCAGCTGAGGGTCTGTGAGTCTTGAACCACCAGAAATTGGGGGCAAAACTGTGTGTGGGCTGTACTCGTCACATTCTCAGAGGCATCTGTGGTTAGAGAATGGCTGCTGGGCCAGATGACCCTCCAAGGTCCCTTCCAGCTGCCGAGCCGGTGGCTCCGTGACCGTATAAGGCCGCTGTGTCTGGGGAGCCTCACTGCGGCTAAGCGCAGCCCTGCACGGAGGGGAAGCAGAGAGCAGAGGGAGCCCCAGCCCTGCTCCCCCCGCCCCGCCCCAGGGGCCCCAGACAGCAGAGGGGAGCCCAGGTGAGGGAGGCCAGGGGTCCCTCCTCGGTTGCCTCTTCCCAGAGAGCTCCGACCTCTCGGGGGGCTGGTGCCGCTCTCCCTCTCTCCCCATCCCCACTTGAGATCTCCCCATTGCGCTGCCAGGTTTCCAGAGTCCAGCTGGCAGCGCCAACCCAAAGCCGGACACTCAGGCCCGCAGAGTCAGCCTTTGCTCGCTCCCCGTATTTCTTCTGGTTTGGTGGCTTGGAACCCCTCTCAGAGCCCCTGAGTTTCAGGTGGGCATCAAGCTTGGCTTCCCTTCGCTGCCCGGGCTCTGCAGGCATAGAACGCCAGTGGGTTCCCACGCTGGCATGCACATGCACACACACACACGTTGGCCTTTTTCAGTGAGCTTGGAGAGGGCGGTTTTGTGCACCTGTGCACTCCTGGCGCCTGTCGTTATGAGTCCTGTCCAGAGCCAGCCCTGTGCCAGGTGGCATGGAAAGGGGGAAACTGAGGTGTGATCACCTGAAGTCCAAGGGCTGACGGCTGGTGGTAGACAGAAGATTCATAAACAAGTCTACTCAGAGATGACCTGACGATGGTTGTCCTCCAGGTGCAGAGCATGCTTCAGACGCTATCGGTTGTAAGTGACAAACTCAAGCCCTGTTACTGGCTTATACAAAAACAAGGAGGGATTATCTGGCTTCCCTCATGGTTAGCTTCAGGCATGGCTGGATCCAGTGGCTCAGATGATGTCTCTGGGACATGATGTTGCACCCTGTCACTCAACCATGCAGAGGACAGTGCTACTGGCTTCGACTGAGGTGCCCATGTGGCCTCCCTCCTGCTCCCCCAGGCCTGGCCTTGTCTCCTTTAGACTCAGACCCGGGCTGTTTCTCCAGCCTCAAACCAGACACCTCCTGGCCTTGCCTCACTCTCCTCGGGCCGGTGCTGTAGGCAGTGTTCCGACGCTCACTTTGTGTGTGAAGTTCTGGGTTCTCAGGGCACCTGGAGCTAGGCACCCAGGGCAGAAGCAGCAGCCCTGCCGGTCAGCGTCGGTCGGCCTGGTGGTCACAGGCAGGGCCTCGACTGCCGCTGTGACACTCACCCTGCTGTGTGACCTCGGGTGGGTGGCTTACCCTCTCTGAGCCTCCATTTCCTCCCCTGTACGTGGGAAATCAGTTTTGATCTCCTAGGATTGTTTTGAATCTTAAATGAGATGGTGCGTGTGAAGCGCTTAGCACAGAGAGGAAGCCCTACACTCGAGCGGGTAAGACCCCGAGCTTTGCTTAAAAACACGAATAGCTAACGTTGATGGAGGGCCTCGTGGGTGCCCTCCCGTGCTAAGCGTTTTCAAGTATCACCCATACCTGTTGACTGCCTTTGCTCTCGTGTGTAGGGACTGTAAAAAGACTGCCTTTCTTTCCCACGATTCTGTTTGTTCAGATTAATTTTGAGTAATTCGGGTAGATTTTTCCTTCAGACCCGATGGTCCCAATGCATCAGCTCAGTAATTCCGCTCCCGGATCAGAAGGGCGCTCTCGGGGCCAAGTGCGGAGGCGCACTCATCTGTGGTGTGTGTGGTTTTTCTCCAGGATCATCCACGAAGATGGCTTCTCGGGAGAAGACGTGAAGCAGTACAAGCCTGTCGTCTACAGCAACACCATCCAGTCCCTGGCAGCCATCGTCCGGGCCATGGACACTTTGGGCATCGAATACGGTGACAAGGAGAGAAAGGTAGGCCGCTGAGCGCAGGGGCCCGGCCAGGAGAGGGCCTGTCTCGGTCCCCTGCTGCGTCCTGATGACCGTGCCAGGCTGCCCTCCGGGCACAGGAGGAGGCTGTGCTGCATGTGGGAGAGAAGGCTAGCCACCCACCTAAGCCAGGAGACCAGTCCCTACCTGGTGCGCGCAAACAGGGGCTTCGCCGGTGGGCAGACTTCCCAGCCACGTCGCCAGCAAGGACAATGACGTTCCAGGGATGAGAAAGGGCGGGTGATTGTTCTAAACTGGGACTCCCACACTGCACAGTACCTGCCCTTGGGCAATTAACGCAGACAGAGAAAATATTTTTATATATATGTTTTTATTGATTTGAAAGAGAGGGGGGAAGGGATAGGGAGGGAGAGAGAGAAACGTCAATGAGAGAGAAACATCGATCGGCTGCCTCCTGCACGCCCCCTACTGGGGATCGAGCCTGCAACCTGGAATCAAACTGGGACCTCTTGGTTCCTGGGTCGACACTCAGCCACGGAGCCACGCCGGCCAGGGGAGGAAATAGGTCTCAAATGTAACAGCCTACCTGGCCACCACCCCCTCCTGAGGAGAGCTCTGCATGCCTTGTTTGGGGGGTGAGGGTGCAGCCATGTGAGCTGATTTTTTCTTCCCTCGAACCAAGGGGTGTGCTTTCTGCCCCTCAGGGGTGAGTCTGAGAACCTAAGGGGCTCCCCTCCCTGTAGGAAGGGGATGTCCTAGAACGGGGACTGTTTTTCACTTGAGTTTCCAGGCGGCTGATAAGTGGTGGATGGAATACGTACATAAAAGCTTCTTATTTGCAAGCGTCTGCATTAACTGTAAGACTGAACGTTATGCAGCCACACTGGCAAAATGAAATTAAAGGGAGGGAGGGAGGGAAACAACCTCAGGGAATTCTATCCCGAAGCTGCTCTCGGCCCCCTGGTGGGATTCCGAGTCCCAGTTCCTCTCGCTGTGACCTGGATCGAGAAAGGGGAGCAGGTGGAGGCCTCCCAGTGCCCTGGCCCCACAGGGAGCCTCTGACTACTGTGTGGTTTGCCCGTGTGGTTAGCAAAGACATATCCCGTCTTTGCTAAAAATGACCTTCATCCCAGAGGAAAATTCCCCTCACCTCCTCCGGGTCAGAGATCTCACCTGCGACCGAGCTTGGCGTGTAAAATTCAATGCTGATGCACAGAATTCTAACTCCACGGCCCAGAGTCGCCCCAGCTCAGGCACTGGCTCCTCCAGGTGCAGGGGAATGGGGTGACGCAGTGTGTCTGAGGCCAGCCCTGGAGCCAGGGAGCTGGGCGCTGGCAGGAGGGCCTGCCCCCAAGCACTTCTCCCCAGGGACAGGCTCTGGTTCGGGCCAGAGAGTTGGGGCCCCTGGAAAGAGGGCACTGCCGTTCTCCAGCCTTGTTCCCTTTAAGCACTCATGGCGGGGCGGGCTCAGGGCGAAGCGGGCGCTGCGCTGGCTGCTGGGGACGCAGATGAGCGCAGGGGGAGAGGCGGACAAGCGCAGGGGGAGAGGTGCTGGAGGAAGCAGACAGTCAGCAGATACCGACTCAGACCATCAGAGTGGCCGAGGTGGCTGCCCGGCTTCATTCATTTCAGCAATAACGGCCACAGTGGTAACAGACAGCTATGATGTTTTATTGAGTGTATTGGGGTGACACTGATTAATAAAATTATAAAGGTTTGAGGTGTACGATTCTATAACACATCATCTATATATTGCATTGTGTGTTCACCCCAAGTCAAGTCTCCATCACCATTTGCCCCCGACCTTTGCCCTCTTCTACCTCCCCTCACCCCCCTCCCCTCTGGTAATCCACATACTGTTGTCTGTGTCTATGAGGATGTGTGTGTGTTTGTTTTTTGCTTAATCCCTTCACCTTCTTCCCCTATCCCTGCACCCCCGCCCCCGCCCCCCAACAAACAGCCATCATTTACTGAGCACCTGCTAGTTGCCAGGCACTGTGCTGAGCACTTGACATATATCCACTCATTTCAGTCAACTCTGGTCTGATCTTCAGACCCGGGGCAGACCACGGGCCTTGGCTCTCGGTCCGCCTTTCAGCAGAAGCACAGTACCGAGTCTCAGTTAACCAGCCAGCAGGCACCCGGGAATGGCGTGCCTCGTTTTTCCAGGTCTCAGAGAGAAAAGGGAAAGTACCTGTCATTCTCCGCTAAGTGAGTAGATGTGGGTGGAGTACTGACCATGTGTCGGCTTGGTGCTGAGCCCTCATAGAGATTCAAAGTTATGTGAGATGGGCCGGTAGGGAGCTGGCCATCCTCTTGGGCACACAGGGCCCCAGGCTGCCTGAGCTCGGTCATCCCACAAGCCGGTCGGGGAAAGCTTCCTGGAGGAAGTGAGGCTGGAACTGTCCTCGAAACAGGCATGGCAGGTGCGGGTAAGGGTGAGGACAGGGACTCGGAGTAAACGTCGAGGGTCGGCAAGGACCAGAGGAGATTTGATTGACGGGGGAGGCCAGTGGCCAGAACAGAGGCTCAGGGTAGGGGCCAGGTGTGGGGAAGGTAGAAGATACGGTCAGGTCCCGATGCGGAGGGCCTTGGAAAGGATGCCAAGGAGTTTGGGTTGTATCCTGTTGGCAGTGAGCAGCCATTGACAACGTTGGAGCTGGGAGGGATGGGTAAAAGTGAGCTTTAGGGTATTACGTGCAGGGTGGACTCCTGGGGGGTGAGGGGAGGGACAAAGCTGGGAAAGCTATGCTAATTGACCCCCACATCGGGGTCTGGGGGTGAGGGTGGGAAATGAGAGCAGCCAGGTGGTGTGGTGACTAAAGAAAGGGACCTGTGACTGGCTACTGGGGCAAACGGATAAGGATCAGGAAACTGAAACTCCAGTGTGACCAGCCTGGATGCCTAGGGACAAGGCAGACCACAGGCAGAACGTCAGGAGATGGGGCCACACCCGGCGAGTCGGGTTTCAGCCTGGTGGCTCTTCAGGTGGGAGTGGTCCCCACGCAGAGGGACTCAGAACTGAAGCTTTCCGTCTCCGTCTCCCGCGTGGCAGGGCCTGTGCTAAACCATTTGCGTGAATTAAGTGATTAACACTAACAGCTCCCTGTGCGGTGGGTGCTATTGTCACCCCATTTTACAAGGGAAAAAATGAGGTGCAGTGACCCTCGGTGACTTGCCCGAGGTCACGCAGTACAAAATGTATGCACGTGGAGGATGGAGACACAGCCTTAATGAAACTGCAGTCCACTGGGCTCAGTCCAGTCCCCGTTAAACAGGCACCGTACCCGTCAGGGAAAGCATTAGGTCCTTACAAGAATCCCATCTTTTTGCCCTAAGTCTTTCTAAAGACTTGGAAAGGGACCCAAAGGACGGCATTTCCCACATAGCCCTCCTGTCTTCCTCATGTCGGTCCCACCCCCACTCTCCACATCCCCCCCACCCCCAGACCCTCTCTCTACCCCCAGCCCACAGGGCTTCCCTCTCTTGCCCTCCTCCTCCTCCTCCTGTCCCCACCTTTTCCCTTCCTCCTTCCACCCACCCCTCTCTCCTTATAAGTGGGTCCCTCTCTTGCTCTCCCTACCTCCCTTCATCTCTTCCTCCCTTTTCCTCTTTCTTCTTTTTCCCCCACTTGTTCCCCTCTCCCTCCCTCCCTGCCTTCCTCTCTCCTCCCTCCTTCTCTAACTCCTTTCTTCCCTCCCTCCCTCCCTCCCTCCCTCCTCACTGCCAGCTCATTATTATGCAAATTGTCTTAATCTTTTGAAGTGGAGTCTTTCCCCTTCCTCCTTCCCCAGCCCGGCCCCATCTGCATCACAAAAGCAGAGAGACTGGGCGGTCTGCCCTGTAAGGATCTGGGAGACTGGACAATTACAGGGTTAGGAGGCTCACAGAGAACGTCTATAGGAACAGTCCTAGCCCCTGTCAGTAGATTTACACACATGCACACACACATGTGTATCTATCAACACCTGAAAATGTGTGCGTGCGTATACTTGCATATATAAAACATATTGCAAGCTAATGGGATAATAGCAAAGGAACAATGCCTTGAACTTGTGTGAGGGTTTTATTCCATTGAAAAGACTCTTGTTTTCATCGTTTGCGCCTATGCCTCCTTCTCTCGCTACATTCTAATGTCCTGGAAGCACAAAATCTAGATCTCATTCCTCTCGTACAGTGCCTGACACAGGAAGGAAGGGGCCTGGATCCGGTTCCCACTTCTACCACGAGCTCTTTGGAAGGTAAAATTATTTACCTTCCTCAGCCCTCAGTGTTTTTGTCTCTAAGATGGGCACGACCTTAATATCCTCCTCGGTTACAGGCTGTAAGATTAAATGAGACGATGCCTGTGAAGTGCTCAGGATGGTGCCTGACAACAGAGTTCTCAGCAACACGTTCGCTCTTGTCCTTCCACCAACTTGTTTAAAATTATTACTGCTAATAAAAATCGGTGAATTACCCTCCACTTGTCTAGTGAGGAACGGGTAAGGTTTTAGGTGCATTTTTCAGGTTAGATACAGAGGGACGAGGCGCCTAATTGGCTGCCTGGCCTGCACGGGACTATAGCGCTTCTGTCCCTCCGAGGGGCTCCGTGAGGGACCTCTCCCCCCTCCCCCGCCAGAGAATGGCAGCTTTTTGGGGAGACCGCGTCATATTTCACACTTAGCTTCCAGGATGTCATTGGATCTCCTCTGGTCAAAGAAATCTTGACATTTAAATCACACCGTGGAGCTCAGAACCCTATCCTATTTTTGATCGTGAAAATATTTCGGTGCCATCTCCATGGCGCAGCGCTGCTCGCCCGGGGGCTTGCACTAACTCTGAAACAGACAAAAACAAGGATGCTCACTGGCCTGCGTCCGCCTGCCTTCCTGGTGCCTGGAGAAACCTCAGTGGTGGCCGGCAGATCTGACGAGGCGCTGGGGGAGGTGACCCACGAAGCTGCCGTGCCCACTCCTGAGGCCAGGAAGAGCTGCCTGCCCTGTGCTGGGCACCAGGTACACAGCCAGGGGCAGCCCTGCCTT